TTGGGGGAGACCGCGGTGGGGACCGATTTGGCCGTGGAGAAGACGGTGGCAGCTGGCGTGGTGGTGGCGACCGGTTTGGAGGCCCCTCGCGCTATGAGCGTCCATCGCGCGATGAATTTCAGACTGAGGAGCGTCCTGCCCACATGCGTTTGAACTTAGCACGCCGTGGAGAGAGCTCGAGTGCTAGCGGGGAAGTACGTAGCAGCAGCAGTGAAAAGTGGTCAGGAGCCTTTGGTGGTGGCAGTGGTCGCTTTGGAGGTCGAGGAGGAGACCGGTTTGGAGACCGCGGAAATGATCGTTATGGAGATCGAGCAAATGATCGCTTTGGTGACCGTTTTGGAGACCGAGGAGGTGATCGCTTTGGAGACCGAGGAAGTGACCGTTTTGGAGACCGAGGAAGTGACCGTTTTGGAGACCGAGGAAGTGACCGTTTTGGACGCGAAGACCGACCTGCGATCGGCCGCTTTTCTCGTAGTGGTGAGGAAGAAGTGTCATCCGCTATTTCTAATATTCGCGTAAGTAGTCGACAAGAACAGGAAGGAGGTGATTTAGAGATTCAAGACAAAAAGGCGCGTGCCAAACAAAAACGCGAGGAACGCAAAAAGAAGGCAGAGGAAGAGCGTATTGCTGCTGAGGAAGCCAAGCGTGTGGCTGCCGAAAAGAAAAAAGAGACCGAGGAAGCCAGTGCAAAGAAAGCTAAAGCTGACCGGGAAACGATGAATTTGGTGCTTGCTAGTGGAAAAAAGGGTGAAGAACTTGCACAGAATGCCAAAGAAATTTTTAAGAGCAAAGGGCGACCCAGTGGCGCGGTGCTATTCGAGACTGTCACAGCTGCAGCGGAGGATGTGGCAAAGTCTAGTGCTAACTGGATTGCGATGCCTGCATTTGGTGAGCTACTTAAATTGGTCATGGTAGACTCGGACAAGAAAGACCAGATGGGGGCTCTTTATGCCCTGCAAGTTTTCTTGAACAAGTACGATTTCCCGAAAGGCTTGCTTGAGAAGTGTTTTATGGCCCTTTATAGTTTGGACATCATTGACGAAGCCGGATTTTTTGAATACAAGTACGACGTGGACGGTGACGTGCCTGGTCGCATGAAGGCTATCATTCAGACGTCAACATGGTTGACGTGGCTTGAGACTCCTGAAGAAGAGAGTGACGACGAGGACAAGGAATAGAGTTTATATGCGTGTCTGAGAAGGTTACTACTTACTGAAGAATATACAAAGTGGTAGTGCTTTTACTTAGCCTATTTACCTGTGGCGGTGATGGCCTGGTCGTAAGATACAAAACTTTAAATGAAATGTGCATTTATCATACACTATCAGGTAACAAACAACCTATGAATCTCGTGCCGTGACTGACGTGACCATGTCTTGAATTGTTGAGAGTGGTGGTCGATAGATTTCAGGAAGCAACTTCCTTTGCAATGAGTTAAAAGAATACTTAAAACGGCCAACATTCTTCTTAGCGACGTGGATGCGAACACCAAATTCTCTCATTATGTTAGCGACAACTTTCACCTCTTCCAATGGTCCATTTTCATTAGCACATCCCGTTTCGATCTCTTGAAGTACGTGCCGTTTCCGTTGAACGAGAAGCCGAGCCTGTTCTAAAGTAGTGCTCATGGCGGTTCGATCTTTGCCCGACTTGCAGTACGTAACTCGACCGCCATTAAGACTGCGTACTGCATCAGCAGCATGTAGCAAAATACACGTGTTCTTAGATGCCGAATTCTCACTCTCGACACTCACACGTAGGTTGCGCAAGATTTCATCGGGATGAGACCCCACATTAATTTCTGACATACCGATTCCGCAAATCTCAGTGAAACGATTATAATACTCCAAAATAGTACGAAAACTTGTGCTGTTAATCTTTCTTTGGATTGAAACACCTGAGTGGCCGACCATGTTAGCTAAACTCTGCATTTCGTTGATACCTTGAGTAAACAGCACGGACGTGACGCTGATCAAATCTCCCTGTCTTAAGCTCTCGGGCAGTAATGCAAAGTATGTCGCAGGGATGGGAATCAGAATGATGTAACCCGCTACCTTTTTCTTTTCAACGACCACCTCCATATCTGCTGTACCTTCGCAGAGCTTCAGCGAAAATGTCTCTAAACACTTAATTGCGACCCAAGCGTCGGAGATCATGTGTAACTCCTTACCATGCGACGATATGAGACTCTCCCATCCGACCAAAAAGCCGACTTTGGCCAGCTGGTCCAGTACCTTTTCGTTTCGTTCTTGGAGGCACAAGTCGAGCTCTGCCATAAAGCAAGCAACAAGGCTACTCACCGACTGGGACACCGCGACGCTCTTTCGCAAATAATATTCCGAGCGAAGCATTTCCAGACGGCACAATAACTGAACTGCGTTATCAATAGGCATTGTTGTATTCACTTCTTCTAAGTCAACGCGTAGAGAAGGATATTTGGCGTAGCTTGCAGCCTTCTCGTCACTATTCTTTTGGTCAAGCTGTCGGAGACTCTTCTTTTTAACAAATGGACTTTTCGGCAGTGCCTTCACTCGAGCTGCTGCAGCCTTTCGGGCCATGATTGAGTACTTTGAGGGCTTGCGCTTTAGCAAAGGCTCGACTGGGGTAGCAGGAGCATCAATAGCCAGATTGGACTGGCCACCAGAGACAGGTGTATCAGAAGAAAAGCCGTCATCCTCGACTTCAGCCTCATTTTCATCGTCCACAGGCGGGTAAAAAAAGTCTGAAGAATCTTCAGAAAGCAAAATTTCCTTATCGCGATGCGGGCTATCTGAGGATTGGGGATTGATTTTTTCCAAAACAGTTTGAAAATTATGCATTTCAAGCTCCATCTCTCGTAATCCGTAGTTACCGAGGCCCATCGCATGTGCAGTTGGAGCGCCGCAAGTCACTGTCGCATGAGTCTCTGGCATCAAGCGCTCATGAATCGAGAAGGCAAAGGGTGGATTGGGTTCAACAACTTTGGCATTAGCTCTTCCTGATGCAATATGCTCATCGACCCCATTCGCATCCGACCCAAAACGCCTAAAAATACGAAAATAAGATACATGCAAGTTGGTCGGAATTCCCTGAATGTCTGCGCGCCTCTTGTCCAAACTTGACTTAAACGTATTTTTCGCCTCGACTAAATGTTCTGTCACTCGAATCATATCTGCAACTTCGGAAATCTGCTTGCGAATGTGTAATACATGAGGATACAAAAAACTTAATGGAATTTTATCTTCATATAATCCATCAGTCGAAGGAGGCGCACAGTCTTCAATCCGCCTGTATCGTCTTGAAACGTAACGAGAGGACTCTAACTGAGTACCGGTTACAATACTATCGTTCACCGGCGCAAGAGGATTCGCAAGCAAAATATTGATGCGAAGTTGGATCTGCCCCGAAACCTCATCTGTCAATGGCGACCGCACATCAAACCAATCAACAAGTGTGAATGAAGTCACAATTTGGTGTGGCCTCGAATGATAATGATCTTCTCTTCCACATTCCGCGCCATCATCGTCATCAAATACTTTCTTTTCCTCTACTGTCATGGCATCGCGTACACTTTGCAGCGGAATCATCACTTCTCCAATCAATTCGTTTTCAAAGCCACTCATGTAGCCGTAGTGCTCATTAAATACTTGAAAGCGCAGCCAACCAGCGAGTGGTTGATCAGGCAGACTTGGTCTATAAAATAAAAACTGCTTCAATGCGTTCACTGGAGACACAACTACACGGCTTTTAAGCACTTGTGACGTCTGATACTTAACGTTCGGCTTCCCGTGAGGACATTTAGTAGTGGCGTTCTTGTTAGTTGACCAAACCGGACTCGTCGAGTCATACTCCGTGTTAGTTTTTCCAACGGTAAATTCGTGATTTCCGACCACACCTTCCTCAAAGTGGACAACTACAAATGAATGCACACCATTGTTAGCCTCACCTCCGGCTTCCACTGCATCGCTGTCATTGCTGCTAAATGAAGACGATGCTACGTTTCCCCACTTTGCAGCTTTAATTCGATTGACCAAACCTCCTCGGCCACCCACAACACTCCCCATTGAAAAACCTGATGTGCGGGACGATCGGAAATCCATGTCAGTGGTCGGTTCGCTGTCCCCGCTTGCAGCAGCGATAGCACTCGACTTCGTCTTCAGATTACGACCGCAAACGACCTGTACGCGGAACACGTCGTGTCCAAAGGATAGTGCTTCCGCATCGTTATCAAAATAGCAGTTCTTTTTGCGGTTGTAGTTGTAACGTATCTTCCACTCATCGTACATCTGCAGTAATTCACTCTGGCACGATCGAAGTAACTGCAATGGAATTTTTACGCTGAAGTCCACTTCTGCTGCCTCTTCAATCGCCAACTTTGCGTTTGCGGCTTGCATCTCTGCATTTTCTTCTTTCATCAATGGGTAGAACAAAAAACTCTTAAACAAATTATGTTGTGTATCAAAAAGCGGATGGAGCTGAGGCTGAAGGTCTGCAAACTGCAGCTCCACTGTCACTCCTTCTTGTACCGTCGAATGAACCGGTAACGTCATCTTTTGCCTGTAATTTCCAGTTGTAGCAACTGTGTACATTTCTTGAAACGACGTCGATGCGTACCCAAAAACGTGGCTATTCTTGTTCGTTGATGTACCTTCGTCCGGAATCATGACTATTATCTGCACATGGCGGTCGTACTCTGTGGGCTCTTTGCAACGAATACTAAAACCCACGGAGAATCGAGGATTACGACTTTTGCATCGTTCACTCCAGTAATTCTCACTGTCTAGCAGTCCGTCAGCGGTTAATGTCGCTTCATACGGCGACGCTGGTCTAGAATCCCGGTGATTGTCGATATCAACTAAACAGCCATTGGCGGTGGTCAAAGGAGGTATGGCGGTATCATGCACGGGAATGTCTGCACCAAAACCGAAGATCGGCGTCTCTTTCGTGACTTTAACCTCGATATTTACTTCGGTAGGAGGCCTGGCGCGTGGTGATCTGGTGTTGCTCATGGCTGTGGCACTGCTCAACATGTTGAAAGCACCACGCACTAATGTCTGTGCTGATCGAGCAGGAGACACGAGAGAATTGCCGTCTACATCGCGACAAGAGACGAAGAAGTGAAGAACCTTGCGGTCTTCCTCGGGATCATTTAACGAAATTTCCACGATAGATGACGGCATAGTCTGAGCGGTTGCATCGGCATCGGATGACTGATAACTTGCGGATGAAGATGCAGATGCTGACGGGTGGGGTACGATAAGCTCGGGTTCCTCGTCGAATGACATGAGATTGGGGCTCTGAGGCGCCGCCATGTTGGAGGTAAGGTCGTTTCCGCACCGTTAGAACGTGGTGTAGCGCACATACAGTGAAACAGTTATATATTTTTTTGCTTGAGATAAAAGTTCACATACCTTGACTAATAATTAGTATGTACCTTGTCTTTTTACCCTGTACAACTGTTGTGATCAGAAGTCGCGAAAATGCGCCCAATTCCCGGCTGAGGCATAAACTTAAAAAACGTCCAAAGTCCATCCTTACGGACAAAAAAGCGTAAGGACAAAAAAGCGTAAGGATGGACTTTAGACGTAAATTCAGGTTTTTGAGTGAATTTCTTCATCTTTTTCCATCGTTATCACGGACAGCAAAAACGCACTCACCACATAGATAAACTTATAAATGACAAATCGGCGGTAACTAGCGTGTTATCTAAAGCATCTTTTTTTTTTGCAAACATAACAAATCTGGTTAAGGTTACGAGCGTTATTTACCGCACTAATATGTCCGTTCTGGAAATTTATTGGGAGCGAGCTAAGGTGGAAGGTTCAAAAGGATGTTAAGAACATTTACTCGCCCAATTACGTGAGGTATTTATTTTTTTCATTTATAAACTCTCTGCAACCTTCGGCGGGATGAAACTTAAAAAAAGAAGATTACTTTAAGTAAGGGAGGAACTAATCCTGCAGCAAAGCTATTGATTACACTTAGTACTAGCAGGCCTGGCGTACTTTTATCACAGTCAAGGTGGTCTGGACAAAGTAATATCAATTGCAGGAAAGCGGCTTCGCGTTTTAAACAATAGATGGTACACGATAGCACATAAGCAGTAAAAGTAGCTTTTATGTCCTGTTGACTTTTCGATTTACTTTGTTCATGTCCCGATCTTATAACGTACGACGTGAATCCAACTTTGACAGGGAAGAACTATACTTGCCTAATGTGAATGCAGTTGTAATTGGTGTTGGGTACCGACTTGTGATTGTCAATCGATCAACGAAAATCGCACGCATAAGAGAGCTGTGTCGGCGTTGATGGACGACGCAGTGGAGCTGCAATTTTCACCTCAATGCTTTTAAAGTGTGGTGTCAAACGGTTCAAGTTGATTCGGTGTGCAAATTGTGTCGATTAACTTGGCAGAATGGATTTCTTATCGAATGGTGTGATATAAATTTATCAGTGCCGTAAGAGTACTTCATTTTTCAACGTTGCACGCGCCCTTAAGACATATTTAGCGTGAAAAGGATTAAATTGGCAGAATAACGTTGACTGCTGCTTAACCATTTTTCGCACGTTTTGTATCATGTTCCAAGCTGGAGACTGAGCTTATGGCATCGCCCATCGCGCTATAAAAAGTTAGCAAAGAGTAGCTATATGTTCGATAGGTCTAACTCATTTTTGCTAACAGTTTCACCCAGTTCAAATATAGTGAAGCCATCCGCTTTGTGTCGGGCATTTTAGTGACGACCACTTCTTTTGAAAGTGAAATCTGCGATCACTATAATGTGAATTTTACTGATAGTCAGTCCAACGTAGTTTAAACTCATTCAACTTACTTAAGAGGCAATATTCAAAATATTGATCACAAGTCCATCAGAAATTAAAAATTATTTGTTCATTGTATAGTCTGGAATATTCGCGAGGCTCGATTAAAGTGTCCCTTTTTCCTCAGTAATCAATTTGCCCGCTGAAAAGCAAACTAAATCTTTAATCACTAGAAGTGCTCAAAACAATTGATATAATGGACGCCAAGACATCACTCGAAAAGAGTCGACTTCAAACAATCGAACAAAAGATCAAAGATGTGCAGGATAAGCTCAGTACACGATTGCCCGCCCAGTACCGGCATTTAGCCGCGATGGTGTGCGGAATTAAGTGGAAATTGCAGGTGTTGAAGTTCCATGATGCCGCTTCTAAAATCAAGAAGGTGCGTCTTGAGCTGGGAGCGTTCGACTACCGTGTAAGGGAACAAGCAGAGCTGCTCACGTGCTACTTGATCGATTTGGACGGCGTGTTGAGCTATGGAAATGCCGACATTCAGAGCTCTCGCAAGGCATTAGTTCTACTTGTGCAGCAGCAGTTACCGCTGGCTGACGCTCTCAAAAAGCGCAGTTGCTTGCTTAAAGAATTTGGGGAGCGTGTACTTTGTGGTCTAGAAGGCCACTTAAAGACTCCTCAGACGCCTGTGGACACTGGGGCCGCGTCAAAGGATCTGCACGTTAAACCTTTGCTACAGGAATGCGAGGATGAACCGAATGATGTTCAGAAGAACGATGCTGGAGAATACGTGGTCGAGCGGCCAATCGTCGTAAAGGAAGTTGAACCTTTAGAACCCGAAGCAGAGGACGTTGATGTAGTAAATGACGTCGCATGCTTGTCAAAACAGTCACCACGGTTTTTAACAAATTCAGGTCCGCAGATTATGGACGTTGATATTAACTCGCTACCTGTTTGGCGTCCGTACTACCAGCTACAGCGTCGTCCAGACGGCATCTACCTTTTGGCACGTATCAACAATACAAATCCACGCAACGTTCGTGTGCAGTGGAACGAACATAATGGTGTGCTTAGCATCACGGGCTTTCGTTTACCCAGTCAGAAGGATATTGTCACGTCACGTCTAAGCGGTGCACCGACGTTCGGCCGCTTTGAAATTGTCGAACAGTTTCCATTGAATTTGTTGAACATGGAGGAGGCGACTCAACAAGTTCTTGCTGATGGCACCTTGCAAATTCGTATGCCTTACTACCCGTTGCAGCACCCGCGGCGATACCAGCCGACGTCGTTTTTTCAGCCACAAGATTGTTTTGTATGGTGAATAATAATTTAATTATGATATGCTTCGTTCATACATTTGCTGACCTTCTAAAGCTCGTTACGGATATGTATATAGTGGTACTCAATTTTTTTGATTTTAAGAACCAAGTAGTGAGTACATCTTAGGATGGAGTGCACCAACCATCTAAAGTTGTTCAGTAGTAGCATAAATGAGTCGTTTAAGGACTTTTAAGAAAATTTGACACCCCCTCTGTACAAATGTGCTAAAGCTATGTAAAAATGGCATGATTTATGGTTTTAAGTTGGTGTCATTTATGATAGAGTCAATTAATTGTCTTAAAGATGAGTGCCGATATGCTCAACGCGATGATCCACGCAGCGACACTGCCAGTAAATTTTGTCGTCGGTATGCTGCTGGACTTCAATTCGTCATACAAGGTAGCGTTACTATCAAACGCGCCAACTTCGTCATCATTCGCATCAAGCGAACCAACCACTTGGTTCAGATCCGAAAATGCTTCAACCTCGTCACTCATTGATCTTTGACCAGGAGATGGCGTAAAAGACCCATTTCTAATGCCACTGATCGAGGCATTCACCTCGGTGGCACGGTCTGCGGAGTCTGATGAGCTTGCGAGAAAAGGTGATGCGGTTGCTTGAGTCACCAGATTGTCGATGAAAGACGCGAATTTCGATGTTTCTTCTCCGTCATGGTCGTACCTCGGTAAGCCATTCTTCGCGAAGTCGTTTTCGGATGAATTGAAATCTTTCTTGTGTTGCAGTTGAGGCCCAATTAAATTTGTGGGCGTAGCACGCTCATCGTTGGTGAACGCGTCAGCGTTCATCCAGAGAAGACAGAGAAAAAGGCCAAGGCAGAGATAGATGCTCTTCTTGTCAAAGTCCAACATAGGCTTTTGAGACTTAGTATGGCTTGTGCGGCTAGCTTGATAATGAAGAGTGACAAATTGGCTGTGACTTCTGAAGAAATTCCTCCAACGAGAAAGTGCTCGCAGTCGCTTTATTCTTTCGTCAAAAATTGTATGGAAGGTAAGAAATGCGTTCTTTCCGTACTTGATTGAATGCTACTTGAAGAATGTAAAGGAAAATATGGTTACCAAGGATTACCTTGAGCATGTCTTGGTGTATGTCGTAGGTCAGTATATTCTACCATTTTATAATTTCACATCGAGATTTTCGCAGAGAATGACAAAATATTTAGTTTGATTGGCAGTCTTAGTGAATAACTTTTCCTTTTGATATTCTGCACAGAGGTAGCGAATGATGCGTATACAGATCGACGACACTATTCCTACTTTTTCATACTTATAAATATAAAGGGCTGACATTCCCTTGCGCGATGTCAGTAGGCGTCGCGCTGGAGCTGCCCACAAAGATAAGCTCGCAAAAGCATTCATCAAGTGCAGCTATATTTATGAGTTACTTCATCCGCATATGATAAAGCTTCATTTCACTGGCATTGTCCCTTAATCTTCCTATGGATAATTTGAAGTGAGACAATCGGTACTGGTACGGATGAAGCTGCTGGGACTCCAGCTAAGAAACTAGCCGTACGTAAGACTTTGATGTTGTCAAGAGTAACACATATTATACTGGGTCGCTAACTCAGCTTCGAATTTTAGATGGTTCCGACGCTATAGCACAATTGGCAATCGCTTTCCTGGAGACGGTCACCAGTCAAGAAGATGTGATGGTGCGACAAATCAACGATCGCCTTACCAGACATTTGGCTGTAACGGGGTAAGTATTGCTGTATGGTGAATGTATACATCACATTTTTGTGCAATTGCGCACGATCCAGAAGTTAAGAAGTTTTGGTACTGATGAAGATGATGGGATTACAAGACGTAGAGGTCCGTGGTACGTGTGGGCTGTTCGCCTCACTTTGTGCAATAAACATTTTTAGTATTTTAGCTAGTAAACATGTATATATTGATATTAAACGAGAGCGAAGTAGTATTATGTTACTTGGAACCGTCGGGTCGCCAATGCAATGCGTCCAATCCTTTGAAGGTAAGGTAGTCAAATTTTCTTTCTGGGTGAAAAATAATGATTTGGCCATCAAATCGGTCATATTTAGATTGAGCAATGCTCGTTACGCTAGTGGTCATCAAGCTATGATGCCATACGCGAGTGTGTACATACGTGCAATTCCTCTATACAGCAATACAGACATGAAGATGCTGAAACGGCACATGTCGCTGCTTATCACACCGCCTAACCAGGAGTTTGTGTGTGGGCTCGAATGCGTAATGGCTTGTCCGCTTGATAAAATCGGACATGGCTTGTCCGCTTGATAAAAATTGGATCCTAATGAACAATTGAGATCTCTTACACCGGAATGCCAGAAAAACTTTATCCAGATGTGATAGCATGTTACGTCTCTATGAAGGGTCTTCGGGTAGATGCGACTCACACCGATACTTTTGTGTTCAGCCAAACGCCGTGGGTCGCATCAAATGCAAATTACGACATCCGCACCTTTGGAACCGGCAAGAGCACGCTCCGAGCGCAGCAAGGCAGTGCCTCAGTTATCTGGAGAGAAAAAAATCTAAGCTGTTGAGCTGTGCCGTGATGATATTTGCCGACGATAATCTGTTGCATTAGAAAAATGTACAATTTGCTTTCTTCTCTCTCGGCTTAGTATCGCAAAGGGTTGAGCTCCACTTAGAATCGTCAACAAACCCCTTACAGAGAAAAAGTCGAGAATCAGTAAGCGCAAGGCGGCCAAATGGTGAAGACTTGGGTTCTACTATACTTAGTGGAAGTCAAGGCTTACTTTATGGGGCTCAGCTCAAAAACTTGTGACTTAATCTATTAGGGTTGTTGGCTGAAAAATCACCTCTTCGGGTTTTGAAAGGCAGTGAAAGGTTCGGATAGTTTGAAATGCGCTGCACAAATCCAAACAACGCGTGATCATCAATTACAGCAGTAAGCCTGTTAAGATATTGAAGATGGAGGGTACAGATACGATATGATTGAGACTGGTTATGGACTATGTCAAAGATTTTGAAAACTTTACATGCGAAAAATGTGGACTGTATAGCGTGACTCGTTCAGTCAAGCTGATCCTGTAGTCGAGATATGATCGCATTTTGGGTATGGCATAGCGTACACGCCATGAGTCATGGGCCGCCAAAAAGTGAAAAAACATTTAAAGGTGTCTTTTACCTTCCTGGTTAATCTTTTGTTAGCCATGATCTCAATTCTGCAGGGAAGCCGAAGCACTTTTGCAGTGGAGATGAAGCTTTTAACAATTTTGATGCAGGTCATCGGATTGTTAAAATTGATGAGAAACAAGTGTTTCGACAGATTGCTCGGGAGGCAGAAACGATAGTGGGTCGATGTGCCAAAATGAGTCAAATAATATTGCAGATGCAAAACTGCTTTTCAGAGGATATAACGGAACTGGTGGTGGTTTGTCATGATACTAGAGCGTCTACCTAGAGCATCACGCGTAAACTGGTGTCCTCGCGTCAGCAGTTGTGTGCTTTAATTCCTGTATTAGTCTGTTGCGGTCTCCCGTGCCGGGTTCAGTGGAGGCGGGTAATCGAGACTTGAAAATAGAGAAAATGTAATCCATGTCTTGCAATAGACTGAGCTTTACGCCAAGCAAATACCGATGAGAATTAAAGCGCCGTCATGTTCAAGCCTCAGCAGCCTGAATCGATAAAAATCGCGTTATTGACAAGAAGCTTTTTGCTATGTATTTCCGGTCATACCTGTTCCGCTCTGAGCTATTTGTGATCAATACAAGAAATGATTTATTGCTCAAAGCAACAGCACCACCAGATCTCTCACAAAGAACGAAATTTACCAAATAAATCTCTTACTTAAATTTGCTGAGTCGGCTTTTAGCGGCGCGATGCGCTTTTGCGTGGCCTCGAATATGAACAGCTGTATGTCGCGCTGGTGACGCCGCTCGTTTAAGGCGATACATATCGACTACGGGACAGACGCAACAATTGTTGCGTTACTAATACTTGGGAAACAGTGATTGTTCGGCTCATATTCATATATCGCTGCTTTTGACAGCACATTTGGCCAAAATCCCTTGTTTCAACTTGTTTCAAGTCTTGTTGTATCACAGCACTGGCTCGCTGAACACAATACGTCTAGTTATATTGTCCTCTGAATCCAGTTATAGAAACGTTTACGAGGCACACTTCCCCTTCGGGTGGTCGATGGGAGAAGACATACTGCTATTTGAAGTTTAAAAAAAACAAAACAAGCATTACCAATTTTTAATGGGTAAGTACTAACGTTCGCACGTGTGAAACGTGCCGGCAGATTAAACCTCGCAGCGAGCATAAGCACGTTTGGCCAAGCAGAAACGATCCTACTTATTGAGTTCGTGTTGATTAAATTGGTGTAACCTTGACACTGCCAAACGTGCTTCAGTATTTGTGAAGAAGGGCTCTTGAGAAAGTATGACTTGCTGATGTCAATCCAGCTACTTTTCGAAGCAAAACAGTTAGTATTGCGAGATTGAGTGCCATTGAATGATTGGCTGAGAGCAGGCGTAAGCAAATGTAACATACAAATACCAAGATCATGTGAACATACTTGAACTTGAAGCGTTTGAAAAAACAGATAAACAAGCCGGATGCACAGTTTACCGAATTAAATTTGATAAGGTTAAACTCATAGCTAGAATTAAAGTGAGTCGTACTCGTAACACAGTCGTAGCCACAATGGGATTAAGTTATAAAAACATGTTTTAGAGATTGTAAAGCACCCTGTGTTCAAGGTGGGCTTACCATGGGCAATCTCTCACGAGCAATTTGGATGCGAAACTTTCAGTAAAGACAATCAATGGCTCAGTCAACACCAGCAGCCGGGATACCCTTCGCTCTATAGCAGCGATCTAGTTTAATCCGCTTCGGATGCCTCAAGCTGATCAGTGCAAATTCTCAGCTCTGGAAACGTATCAAAAATTGTTTTAGGTGAATTCTGGTCGATTGATGAAAGACTTGAAGAAAGTTGAGGTGCTGCCATATTGAGAAGGAGCTCAAGAGAGTCAGTTATGAGTGGCTCATCTTTTGATTGTTTATTGGATGAGTTGTGAGTGCCTCCTTCAATGTGGGATGAATACTGAGCCGGCATGCTCACCAGGATTGTAATTCGTGTCTGACGAACTGCCTTACTCAAAGATCTCATGATTGTGTAAAATCTCGTATCGGTAGAATTGTTCCGGCACTGTCAACGATTTTGACTTGGCGCACTCTGTGCCTTTACTGATCAAGGACCAAGATTGGGTCTCGCAGCGCAACATGCTTCTTACTTGTATGTGGGGCCAGTCTTGTACCAATTGATGGACCGGTAGTTATAACAGCAGTCCGTGGGAAAATTTTCAGCAAGAACGTGAGGTGGCGAGAGGCCACCTCAATTTCAACTTGGCTTTGGGCTGTTTGAAGCCAAGCATCAAACGACGTTTATATTTACTTCACTGACGATAGCCTCGAAGGCTGAGGCAGCGTGCTTTTTGATCTGGTGAAAGTTAAATTTTGGATTTTCCCAGCACATCGCATTGTAATAGGCCACGGTGTTCAGTTGAAGTACTGGTTTACTGAATCGCAGCTGCTCTAAGTACCGGAGGTACCCCCCAGGAACGGCGAACATCGGATCAGAATTAGCTTTTGGAACGACCTTGGCTATTCATTTGAGAAGGAGGTCTACAGAAAACGTGTAAGGACCTAACCCTTGGGGTGCGTTGAAAACGTTATGAACTAAGAAACTCCATAAGAAAGCTGCAGCGACTTTCGCGCTCGCAGGCGGGCAATCTCGACTTGCTGTACCAAATTTTGTCCACTACTAGTGTACTTGACGATGTTGCGAGCTCCGTAGCGAGGGAATTGGGCATCTCCGAACGCAGGTGACGGGCACGGAGTGCCTTCGTCATGCTTATATGAGGTGGACCACAAGGGACATAGGGGAATTTTCATGAGCCGGGAACCGATCTTGTAGTATGTTTCTTGATGAGGGCAATGGTGCTGGGAAGCAAATTACCGAGCTACCATTCGGATATACCTCGGCTTGGTTGCCTCACCAACTACGGTCCGTAGGTTGCAGGATCCCGGGGCCGCGCCTTGATCAGTGGCTGATTAAATTATTTGGGTATGCTACAGATAGTTTAGGTAGCGGACCAGTTCCCTGACTAAAACTTGCATGCATCTACATCTAGCTTCATATACTAGGACTAGATTTACAATGGATCAGAGAATTTTAAACAAGTAAAAGAACCTCAGATATAGTATGGAATGGGTTGCAGAGGCTACTTTCCTGGACCAACTATCGTCACGAGTTGTCCAGCGATACAATCGCCGCAAGGTTGAGTAAAAACCTGTTTGTATCATTTTTTGTAAACAAAACACACCAAATTGTATAGAGCCTAAAAAGAGTGCATACTACAAATTGTTTATATATTTCACGTCCATGAGAGCTACTTATGAAGTGGCAGTAAACTTAGCATTGCCGAGCTGAGAATAACAGGGACAATTTTATCCAGTTTTCATCTACATCGTAAAGATTTCGCTTAACAAGTAAACCATTTGCTGCGTGATGCTCAAACAACGAGTTTTTACCCTTGCGTAATTCTCATTTTGCCGGCTGTACCCAGCCACCCGCTCTAGCTATCACTCCTCTTTTTCCCTTGAAATGATGAATCCAGCTACTTTTGTCTTCTCATTCCCCCACCAACAAGCCCCTCGCGCTGAGATTAGCTCGAGTCCTGGGTCCGCAACCAGTATCCTGTCGGGTACCACTGTCGACCGACCTTGCTCGAATTCCTGCACCAGCTTTGGACCTCCAATTGGATATTCGCCAGCCTCCCACCCAGCTACGCCGTTGTCTTCTTTCCTCCCCCCGTCGCCTCCATTGTCTGCGTTTCACGCCTTACCGGTAATTGTGCCTGCTGATGCGATCGACCCCGATGACTAGCTCATAGACACGACCCCAACTGTCGCCGAATCTATTCCTGATGCTGCTGCTACTTCGGATGACGATTCGATGGATTTCACGCAGACTCCCGTCAATGCTTCTCTGTCTCTAAGCATGGACACGCATGTGATGATGGCGGACTTGGTGTGGCAGCGAGAAATGATTCGACGCGCTAACACCGAAGCCGAAGCCACACGTCGTCGTGTGGAGACCGCAAAGTCCCTCGCCTGGGACATCAAAGCGATCAAGCGCTAGTTCGCTGCTGGTGGTGACTGAACGTTCAAACCGACTCGCATGGAGCAGGCGCGACCGTATGAGTTCCCGCGTGCCGCTCCAAAAGATCATTGTTTTGCCGGCTGGCATGCACCACGGTAACGAGGCTCTCGAGCAGCTGTTCGGCGAATTTGCGAAGCTCCCCAGTTGCCTAGTTGCGCAAAAAACTCAGCACTGGTGGCTAGCTGTGCATCGAAGTGAAGACTAAAGAAGTCTGCTTGGAGCTGGAGCGCATGAAGGTCAACATCCTTGGTGATGTATTCGTGTTCAAGAGGTTTGGTACAAGTAATTCATTGATATCGCAAATGTCGACTTGGACACCAACACGGATGTGATTCTTCAATGCTTGTTCTCGTTAGGATGCAAGCCGGTGTACGACACGTTCCGCGAAGTAAACCTCGTGACAAGAATCACGACTTCCGCACCAGCACATGTCCAAGCGCGTTGATGGTGAATGGGTCGGTGAGCGACTAGATCCCGTTTGATAACAAGATACATCCGGCGTAATAATGCTTCGTTCCAATCGGAAGTCGGCCATTCGTCTACCGTTCGCACCAAGGCATCGGCTTGGACAACCGACGACAAGTTTCCTCGTCCAGCACGTCCCAGTGGAACTGCTTTACAGCTGCAGTAGCATCAACAAACGTATCCGAATATGTACGAGAGAGCAACGAAATGTTTGACCGAAGCAAACCTCGCTCCAAAAGGCTGCCGAGAAAGCCACGAAACGGTCATCTCCGGAGAGGATCTCGGCATAGTCAGCAACCTGCTGCCAATCAACTTGTAAACCTCCCAAGCAACTAAGGCGATGCACTGACAATCTCGACCTTCAACGGCTCAAGCGGCTAGATCTCTCTTCCTGGATGTCTGTCGAAAAATTTGCCAATGTTGCTCTTGGACGACCGCTTCATCACCGTCACAACAACAAGAGAATGCGAGGTCGTAGCGGAACGATTTCACTGCTCTTTTGTTGAAGCAGAAGCCGATGCCACTGGATGGCATCGCAACCGAGAAATGTTTCCATGTACTCCCGTTGATAGAGATCTTGCTCGAATAGACGAACGTGGCAGCCGACAAAAAGCACGGCGTGTTATCGCTGTGAATATGAAGTTGAGAGGACATCGGCCGAGTCCGCCTACTTTGTGGAGAAGTGCCACACGAAGATCAAGAACGCATTGAATGCATCTCCAATGATGGAAGTGATCGAGTCGAAACTCGACGACGAAGGGAAGGCGCTTTTTAATTGTCTCGCGGAAGCAGACAAGAAGGTCGACAGAGTGTGCATGCTGTTCGAGAAGCTGCGAACACCGTTCACATCACAAAGAAGGCGATCGAGCCTCTGCTCGCCTTAAATAGCACGCTGTCGCTGAAGATGGCAGGTAAAAGAGACTGGAATCATCGATCTCGCGCAGTTGCACGCAATCGGTCGTGCCTTAACAACGACGCAGCCGGGTCAAGACATTTCTTTCACCACCAAGTGATGGGAACATCAGTTCCATTTCAGCGGCTCGAAATCTTTGAGACGTGCGCCAAGCGGTGAGACCCGTCCGAGTCAATGCAAGAGCTGAATCAAGCGGCCAGGGTATTGATGATAATCGAGCTGGCATTACTGTCCATTGCGCCGACGATCTTTGTCAATAATCATTGATTTCAGTACCTCATGGGTCAGCCGGTCGCTGTACTTCAGCTCCAAGACGTGAATGACGGGGGTGGTAATGGTCGCGGGTGGCTTGGCAACTCGTTGATAAACCATCTGGATTGCCCACTATGACATGGAGCAACATTAGTGTCCTTACGGTGAACACTAATGGCATCAAAAAAAAGTCGCCTATATATTATGACCTTGCTTTCAAGTTCTCGGTGCCGTGCGTTCAGGAAACTAAGCTCGCAGACAGCAAGCACATCTCAACGTTCAAGCTCCACCTCGCCTCGATTTTCAAGCACAAGGTCTTCGTAAACGACCCCTGTTGGACCGACCCACGAGAGCCCACACGGTGTTCCGCTCTGACATCCTTGGCTTTGACACGGCGAATGAAGTCCCACAGCTACAGGTCGAAGAACGCTACCTCGTCGTGAAGGTGATAGTTGAGAGTGCTCCCATAAACATACACGTCTGTGGATCAACAGAAAAATCAACACCTCTTCGAGAATCTCGAGGCCGAAGGGTTCAAGGATCAAGCGACGCTCTTCGTCTGAGGTGACCTAAACACTCCTCTCGACCCTCCACTCAACGCTTCGCAACCTGACTTGAGGTATGACCCGAGTCGATTTAGCTGTCTCGAGTGGCCAGCGAAGCTGAGTGCCGTCTATGCATGACGGATCCATTTCGACGCGAAGCGTATGTCCACCGACCCACTTCCTCGGAAAACCTGCTGGACTACATCCTGCTGTTTGAGACGTTCTGCAATCGCTTCTACGACGACACGAAGTACTTCCGAAGCACGCTGGTGACCACTTTGCTCACTGCGTAAGCTTCCGGTCGGTCAAACAACTGCACGGTCGAGGTTTCTGGAAGTTCCCGCAATATCTTCTCGACCATTTGAAAGTTGTATCTGCGATCGAGGTGGAAGCCGAGCTAGTTCACGATCAACTGCTTGCCGCTGAGAACCCCGGCAATGTGTGAGAGGAATGGAAGATGGGTATCATAAAACAGCTGCGAGATGTGCAGAAGAAGCTTCGGATGCAAGCCACACGATTTTATTAGGACCTAAGAATCGCACTCGACCAAGCTGCGGCTCGATATCGTACAGCAGGTAGCGACTCAGGCTCAGTGGTCTGAAGTAGTGGCTTTAATCAAATGAGTGAGGGTTCGAGTCTCACAACGAACAAATTAGGGAAGCGGTTACTTGGTGTTTGGCGTTCATGAAGCCTTCTACCAGTAGTCACATTCCCAGACCTATATTTTTATCTTTGATCTTTTGATCGTTGATCATAAAAGTTTATAGGTGCTGTATCCATAACTTCGTTTCTTCACGTATCAGTTGATACCACATAGTGTATATTATGAACTTGGAACAATTATGAAGTCAAAACGTCGATAAGCTACACAATAGACAAGCTTTCAACTAATCTGAGCGAAAAGATCGATCAGAAAGAGAAATTTTTAGTCATCGAAGGTGGCTTGCCAAATTTACTCTGGCGTCAAGATAAGTTGACAAAAGAAATGGTGAGAGCGGGGCTAGCAATCATGTGGAGTACAATATGGCATTCCTGGAGAATCCAATCCGCTTTTTGAAAAGAGTGATGTGATAAGCCAATGGGTTCTCGCAACGTTCTTGACACTGTGCTACGATACGATCAAGTCGATCTCGCATCAATTAGTTAAGCTTACGGATGAGAGCCTTGATTGTTGCCTTATGTGTACGCAAGAAAACAGATTCACCATGAGCAATTAGGGAAGAGGATATTCTGAAAATGCTACTGTTGGGAGGGGATATCAGCTTCGACCAGAGGGGTCGACAACAGATCAACTAAATATGACTTTTCCGGGTCATTCGTCCAGGTACTGGAAGGAATTTCTAGCCGCGACCAAAGATAGCGCGTTAAGCCGCAGCAAGTGAATTATATTATCAAGAAAGAGATGAAAAGCCCAAAAGAAAGCCTCGCGTGAGTGAATATGGTGGATGGTGGTTTACCATGCACTGCATATCCAAGCTCAACAAAAAAATGGATCCAGCAGGCAAGGCTAAAAGATGCTGAAATCAAGTGACACAGAGTCTGCCCTCCAAGTGCCGTCGCACAGCGTCGCAAAATTATTATTTTTCAAGTTGCTCAAAATAATCTTCTGGGAGAAAATACGTGATACCAGAGAAGAGCATTAAAGATACTGTGGACTTGTACGAGGCATGCCATATGATCGCAGAGATTGGAAGTCAAAATCACCTAAACAAAGCAAACTAATCGTGAATTTTAGTGGAAGACGACAGATTTATCTGACTCGGATTTGACAGGAAACGTGGAGCACACAAAGTTCGGGTGGGAGAAATGCAAGCACTAGTAAGTTTGAAAATTTGTCATACTACCACAATAGGTCTCACGTGTTATGCAGCAGGTGGGAGTTGGAGGTTGAATCTAATGCAAAAAAGTTAGCCACCTGTGAAGCTAATCTTGCACGCAAAACAGGTACGATACGGAATTACCAAGTCGGGCTATCATGCTAGAAAACCCAATGTGGTGGGAGACATTGTGGACAAACGACATGTGACTGGGTCGCTCGCAGAAATCTTTGATGACATGACAAGCCTGAAAATTTAAGAAGTTGATTGAAAGAAATATGTGAAAACATGAGGTCACAACCGACAAACTTCGTTTAAATTACAACTGGAATTATCTCCAATTGGCGCTAATTGATAAAATCACGATTTTAGTGACATGCCTTGTCTGTCACGACATATGGACACAAACAAATTATAATCTCAGCTACGTGCTGGTAGAACCAGAATCATGCCAAAATCTTTCGTGTGTTGCAGACTACGCAGTTGTAGCTCAATTGTATGTTGGTGAGCGTTCGAGTTTCAAGGACTTCCCTTCATAGTAATCTCGTTGTAGTCGTCCTCGCACTCGGCATCGACTGTTGCTTGTGCTTGTATCAGATATACCGCTACTTACGATATTTCTATATATCCAAGATGGCTGTTAGGATCACCCATTTAAACCACAGGGTAACAAACTTCATAGTACAGTTCTAATGGATGCTTTGTTAACCATTAGCAAACGCACAACTTATTACAATCGCTTTGTTATCGCAACTTTGAAGTATTTTTCAGTAGTTGATACAACCTCGAATGGTGCTATTATGACCTCTCTTTTTTCTAGCACATGATACATCCGCAAAGGCAGGAGAGTATCTCCATACTGGATAAAATCCATCCTTGTGAAGCTTCTGAGATCTAAAACTGCATCTGAACGCAACTTGACTACCCCTCTTAACACAATAAAAAGATGTACCTCAGTCCACTTCGTCCAAATCGAGCTCCTCGTCAATGCTGCTATCACTTGGACTAGTCAAAAGATTTTCAGTCGAGGATTGGACAAGTGGGGACAATGGCGGAGTGGACAAAAAAGACGAATTAGGAACTGACACGGAAGAGTCCAGTTCAGATGTCAACGAATGACTCGGTCCCACTTGGACCCCGTCGTTCATATGGTCAAAGGAACTGCTACTTTCGTCACTATGGACGAAGCTTCGCACACCACTCAAAGTTCGCCGCAAAACTTCCAGAAAAGATGGGAAAGCGGTTGGACTCGAAGTCGATGGCTCCGCAACAGTTGACGACGTTCGTCCATTAGCGCTTCCATTGTCGTTATTGCTACTGTATGCGGTGGCTTCTTCAGCTTCTCTCAGTCTTTCTTCAGCCGCAGCAACCTCTGGAATCACGCCAATAAAATTACTTGATATTCGTGGACTGTTTCCCGATTGTGGGGTGCGCGGAGACACAATATGACTTGACGACGAAAGTGAACGATACGCCAATTGACCTGCTTCCATCGCAAAAGAATGATTTGACTCATCGTCACTGTCGTGTTCGTCGTTGTCGTGACCAAAAGACGATCCAATAAAGTCATTTGACAGAAAGTTGTCAAGATCCCGAGCCACTGCTCGTTGCTGACTTGATTCAGAATGACTGCGACGTCGATAGGCATCCAGCAAAGGGACACGACTTTGATCACTTTCGTCTTCGATTGTCTGAATGTCGTCTAGCGTAGCAAACGAGCGTCCGATTGGAGGGGTGGATGGTGATTGCACACGTCGGCGTGGCCCTCCACCACTATTGCTCGCAACATTGTTACCTTGAGCCAGCGAAGCAAATGCTGACAGCGAGGCCGGAGCAACAATGGCGTGAATATGCACATCAATGCTTCGTCTTGACTGAGACGATTCGCGCGCTACGTTTGGTGAAGTGGCAATCAAGTCACGAAATAAAAGCGCGTTATCTTGATCTTCTGCCGAATTCGTGTCAGCCGTTGCCTGAAGCTGCGTATTTTCTCCGTTTCCACGACGCGATGTCAATGTGTGGCGCATGCGCTGTCGCTGTGATGAGCCTTGAAGCTCTGGACGCAGCAAAGGATCAAGGTGGTTAGCAGAATCTATCAACAAGCGTCCAAACCGATCAAAGAGAGGAGCCACTAGATGAGCTACTTCCGACACTTCGCTTTCTCGAGCTCCCAGTGTTGTTGACGCACTTGGCACAGAATCCACTGACGGAATCTGGTCCCGTTGCAAGTCCTCTTCACACAAAACCGCCAATCGGTTAATATGCGGCATCATTTCACCCATAAGGTTTCGCACATTAATAACAAGTTGTCGCACGTCATTGTCACCAACTCGAGGCGCACTGGGCACTCTTGTCGTCGGAACTGGCGACATTCTTTGCGCATTGTGCGTGTGAAGAGTGCGCGTGCGAAAGGCGGCAATTCGATCTGAATCAACGTCAATCCATTCGTCCCACCTTGTGGGCCAGCCATGGTAATGAATGAGAATTTTGCCGTCAGCAATGTCCATTACTGTTGATTCGAGCCATTGGTTAACCGTGTCCTTGACGTCTAGCCACTGGCCTACAAAAAATTGACGCGAGCTTCGTCGTATTTGAGTCTGGCTCTCAGTTTGCTGTTCATTCTCTTCAATACGCTCGTCCTGCTGCTGACTATCTCTTTCCTGCTCGCTGATCGCCGTCGACAACACTGTTCGCATGGTTAGTATACCCTGTGTCATGTGCTCCAAATCAACGACAGACGTGACAATCTCATTGTTCAAGCCAGTTAAATTACTGTTTTCCATGCCTTCAATCATCTCGTGTGATGTATCAGCCGGCGTAGCATTCAAGTGTCGCGAACCATTTAAGTTGCTAAGTCCAACATTAACAGCCGTTGCTCGTGGAGTCTCGGCAACGTCGCCAAGAAGTTCGCGAAGCATCGGCAACGGCTGAGAGGTCGTTATTGATTCCCCTGTTCTTCGAAGAACCGAGCGAAGATTAGCCAAATTCCAGGCCGGGCCATTCACTTCTCGTGGCCGCGCGTCAGTGTGCGTTGTGTTAGTCGTAGCGGGCAACTTAACCACTAGATGCACAGTGTGGCCATCCTGAAGATCATACGTAGCCAGCACTGCCCCATCTTTCATCAGCTTTCCACGATAAATAAGCCGTTGTCTTGATGCTGGAATAGCTGTGGCAAGCGCCACTTTGGCCCGAAAGTCTGCGACCGACATGGACGACGCGGCCTCCACATTAAATACGCGCTCATCAAGCGTCTTTAGTCGCAAACGCAGCGCATTATCATTAAAAGACGAAGTATGCATTTCTGTGGCGTCTTGTGGTGAGTCCGGCGGCGTTTGGATAAGGTTTGGAGACGACATAGCCGGCGACGCATTATCGGCCATATTGCGCCTAGAGCTATGTCGTATTCTCGAAAGTTGGTTAGAGAGAAAGGGTTGGGACAAGGTATTCTAACCAGGTCGGAAACATGAAATAAGTTTTGACTACACATTCATGTTAAATTTCCGACCAATCCCCTGCCAGCATTCGAAGGGAAAATTAGAAATCGCTAAACAAAGAAAGTGTATTACTTTAGCTGATACTAAAGCCAGACTCAAAGCCGAAAGCTTTTAATCAAACACGACAGCCCACATTTTATGACTTGGTAGGACTAGTTCAGCCCCCAGAACGTTGCAATCATTCTATCTGAGCGATATCGTCATTAGCCCACATTTGATGATTTGGTAGGCCACCAGAACGTTGCAATTATTCTATCTGAGCGATATCGTCATCAGTAAGCTCACCGCTGTCAGTGATGACAACCCTCTTACTGGGTGTACCGCTTTGCGATCCCACGGCTTCGATAGCATCCACCACATTCATTCCCTCGATCACACGACCAAAAACAACATGGCGACCGTCCAGCCACGATGTCTTGACAGTGCAAATAAAGAATTGGCTACCGTTCGTGTTTGCACCAGCATTTGCCATGCTGAGAGTGCCCTTCCCAGTATGTTTCCTGCCAAAAGCAAATGTAACATGTCAATAAGGTTAAGTAATATTATAAATTATTTGAAATGAGTGCCACACAATTTGAAGTTTTCATCCGGAAATTTTTCGCCGTAAATGCTCTCGCCACCCGTGCCGTCAAAATTAGTAAAGTCTCCACCCTGCAACATGAATCCAGGAATGATACGGTGGAAGATACTTCCCTTGTAGTGGAGGGGCTTGCCACTTTTGCCCACACCCTTCTCACCCGTGCAAAGCGCACGAAAGTTCTCAACCGTCTCAGGAACCGTCTTTCCATATAACCCCATCACGATGCGCTGCGCGGGCCTGTCATCGATGCTCACATCAAAAAAGACTCGGTGAGTGACTTTAGGGGTTTTACCGGCTTGAACAAGTGCCGATAGAGTCGTGAGGCTTAAAACTACGACCAGCAACGACAGTTTCGCCATCTTGACTTGAAGATTAACAATGAGGGAGATCTCTCACGATATTTATTTTACGTAAATTTAACGTAATTACAAAGAAGATTTATGCTAGAGAATAAAACTTTTTCGCACTTAGCAACAAATGTACATTTTTGGTACCATTTACTGAAATACGATACTAGATTATTGTACGAATTTCTCATTCCACTTGTGAATACTCATAAATAAATTAGTATCGGGATAAAGAGGTCTGTGGTACACGTGGACACGTTGAGTCATAAATAGAGTTCTGGTATGAGATGTAGTAGATATTTACCATCAGTATAAGTTTGGCTTCATCTGTACAGAGTTCGCGCTTGGTGAAACTTGTATCCAATACTACGACCTATTCATGAAAAAACAGTATTTTCGTAAATGTAAAGCGATGCTGGGCATCCACTCATTTGAGGACAGGATCAACGCAAGGCTGCCCTCTGAATGAGAGAATATGAGATAGTCACCAAATATGCCTTGATTCAGAGAGAGCAACGTAGCGTTGCGCTTGCGGCTCCAAGGTAGAAGTAACGCGCAAGAATGGAATTTAACGTACAATGACTTTGCGTATGATGAGGGTCAATATACAAATATGCAAGATATTCGTACCGCCTAACCAGGCGTATCGGGTGCGTTTCAAATTTATGTCAACCCATCAAGAAAGGCAAGAGCTATCCAAAAATTAAGATTTACAGCTGTTGCAATGTCGTCAGACCCTGGTAGTAGTTACTTTCTTCTTACCGTGTTTGCGACTCACCCCGAGACGTTCCGTGTCCATTGTAAATCTTTTGTGGATAAAGTTTGATCGCATTCATGAGGATGCTCTTGTGCTGTGGGGCAATTAGAATCCCGGAGGTGTTAACTCGATGAGCGCGCCAAAGGCGATAAACCTCAGCCATGCAGGGATTTGCTGTCGCACAGCTGCAGAGTACTCGTAGATGTTTCGATCTGTGGTAGTACGATGCGCTTGCGCTTTGCATGCTCTCTTTGCTCTCGGTGGAGAAGTTTGAAGCGTCTAGCCAATCCGCGAAGACGGATGTCAAACCTCTCATGAAAAATGTCAAGTCCCAGTAGGCGCAGTGTCGTCAACCGGACCAAACGGGTTTATTGTCCTTCATAGATGTCGTAGACAATCAGACCCAGCCCTTCCAGAGGCTACTTTCTCCAAAAGAGATGTAGGGTCGGTCGTTATCGATAATTAACGTTCCGGGCTTGGCAAAGCCGTGGAAAGTCCTGATCTATCCAGAAGCGTCGTGCATTTACGTAAGACGCGTGACAGTATGGTATTGGTATTGAAGATACAGATACGATATCCATGTATCTAACGATGATGGGGGTTGTAAGAGTGTCGAAGCTTTTGTTTGCTTTTTTCAAGAGAAGTTTGAGAGCTACAACGGCGTACAACGTTGCATCATTTTAGACCTAGAATCGAGATGTGATATCATTCTACACATTTGGCAAGAACGCCTCGAGCCGCGGATTTACTGAACGTCAAATATGCAAAGTGTCGTGCACGTTGCTTTCGGTGAGTCAATGGCGAGTCATAAGATTACCTCTGGCACCAATGCGATATTGACGCGGACACGAACCTCCGATAGCTTCTGTGTCGGATATTAACTGTCCGAAATTTTCAGCAATGGATTTGTTAGATTTCTTGGGCGGAGATCTGAATGCGGCGGTGGTAATGAGCCAGGATCTGAGCGATTCTACATCGTGGTCTTGAGAATGTATCTTGGCCAAGATACGAAAGAACGGGTAAATGCCGTGGTCCCGGAATATTTATCTGGAGGAACAGTAACGATGAGCTGTGAGCTGTTGTCTTTTGTGTCTGGACTAGTGAAGAGTTAAACTTATGGGGTATCACATTCCTTGTGTCAGAGCCCGTGGAGCTGAAGGTCGACTGTAAGTCGCGAGTAGAAGGGCAGGATCGTGAAGATATAGCACTGCTTATCCGTGTCACGATGTACTGCTGAGCCAGCATGAGCCGAACGCGCGGAGAGGTGAAGTTTCACGTGTAAGTAGAGAAAACGATAATTCAATCGTGAATTGTGCGACCGGAAAGTCTTAGATATTCATGTCCCCACCCACTACCTCCGTTTAAAGCGCAACCTTTAAACGGAGGTAGTGGGTGGGGACATGAATATCTATATGAGAGCTTGCAATGTTGGAAGACAGTGAGGTCTCCGAAATGGTACGATGGGTACCAGACGAGCTGAGCTCGTAATCCGTGATAAATGAATTTTGTCTTTGAAGACGATTGCAAAGCACTGGGAGCAAAAAGTGGGAAATTCCCACGCAGGGATCTGACAAATCTTTATATTCTTTACTGAAAGGATATCACGACGTTGGACACGAGTTCCAAAAGGCTTGTTACTCTTTAAGTGCCAATGATCGGGTAGGTGGTTTAGATATTCAATTCATCTCCCACAGCGGTAAGTATTGTAGTTGGTTGCTGTAGAAGTGACTGGCAATGCCACAGTGCACCAGCTTCATTCATCCGCCTGGCGACGCAGCTGCTTGGGCCACATCGTGGCTGAGCACAAATATATCTCGACGACATTTTTGTTCATTGTCAAGCAGAGCACGGAAAGTCAGATGTTGAAAAGCACATTTTTTAGCTGTAGCAGTGCCCGAATGTACCTCTCTAACTAAGCCACATGTTTTCTTGGCGCCGACTAAATTTCTTTTATGGGCTGCTTCATCAAGAAGCAGGGCCTGAATGCAGACCTCGCAATGTTAGAGGATACCGTAGATTGACTAGTGCCTTCGTTCTTAAGGGGCGAGAGATGGTGGCCTGATCAGGCCAACTACTTGCACAATTACGAATTCAAACTATGCTGGGACGTGACACGACCCTTCACCAATCTTTACTAAAAGAAGGTCAAGTGGTGTGGCAAAAGGAACGGTATTTAGGCTGTGAGATTGAACCCTGCGTTCATCCAATTCTGGCACTTCCGAATCGAGGTCGGTCATTTCATGTCTTCCGCATTTTCCATAGGCTGCGCTTTGTTTCAAATCCAAGCCGATGGGCTTGAATGAGTGATCGCGATTGAGTTTCGCCAGCGATAAGGGTCATAGATGAAGTACCTTGTTCGACAAGAAGCTACTTGCAATGAATCGTGCGCTCGTCAAGTTTCATGTGTGTCTGATTGCGTTTTAGCCGTGTGATGCGTTGTTGTGCAAGCGAAGTCGTCATCATATATTTATACTGATAATGACAAATTATTCTTCTTGTTTGCCGAGTATATCTTAAGGGTAAGGTATAAGCGGGGTCAGCTTAACGTGGTGGTGTAAGCTTCTTCTGCGTCGCCCAATGTAATAATGGTGATGCCGCCAATCGATGAGGCAATATTTACAGCGTACGAGAGAGATGCAACGTGTGATGCGTTGCTGAAATCTTTGAAAAACAAACTTTATTGAGCTTATATGTCGCGTTGTGTTTGCACACCTGCCTCGCTATGCCGTATCCGAGGCGTCTTTTATCTCGTTGCTGACCCACATGACCCACATAACAATATCGGCTCATGATGAGGACATCAAGGACAAGATACTGTATGAGGCATATGACACCCCTTTGGCTGGCCATAATAAAAGAGAGAAAAATCTACTGCTTGGTGAGTGCTGTGTATCGGTGGCCTAGCATGTGTAAGTAGGTTAGCACGTACGTCCGCATAAAACGTGTTAGCTACTTAGACCCTCGCCACAGGCGGCGGCGCCTATGGAGCAGCCCTCGGTCTTGGCAGAGTGTCGGCATTGCGGTCGTTATGGTTAGTATGGGAAAGACGAATAATATTACTGCTATCAGCGATATTAAAACTACGGTGTGGGTCTAGCCAAGGTGTTCCTCGTCAAGTTTTTTTTAACATGCTTGCCGCTGGTATCGTGCCGAATCGATATCCACTCTCAAAAGAATCAGCGAAGTTTGCTTAATATGCTAGGTGCCAATTTAGCTGCCCGTTGCTGTTCATCCGCAGACCGATGATCCAACAAAACGTGTTAATGGCGTGTTTGGGTATCTTCAGAGACTTTTACGTGGGGAGACCGCAATGATAGAGTAAGCCGCTCCGACCCTTTATATCTTGCAAGATGGCTGTCTATACACGCTTGCTGTCATTGTTTATGAATGATTTGATTGTAAAACCTCCTGTTTGTTTGACACCGCCACAAAGCGCCTTTAGTCTTGCGAAGAAGGGGGTTCGATACAGATTACAGTTCGTAGAAAATTGACAGATAATATATGAATGAGATTGAACAGAATGTACCCAGTAACCGGTATAATGGCTGGACCATAGAACTCCAGAAATAGTATGCTGGAGCCAAAGGGAAGTAGAACACGCGGGAATATGCTGTAGGGCAAAGTCTTTCCGTACTTTCAACACACTGTGCAGACTGTGCAAGAACAGATTCATACACCCCGAAAAGGATTCAAACGCATCCTGTGTTTGGAGTGGGCTGATGGAGTTCATATTACGATTACGATCCCGCTGCTTCGAGTCATTTGGGTGTGATGCGCTTTGCTGTTGACGAATCAAAGGCTTATCATTTTTATAATTGGGCACCCTCTGGCTTAGAGCAGTGATGTGGTTCTGGCTAGTAGGGATACGTCAAGCCAATCGGTACGATGGCAAAGCCCAAAATGCGCATCCAAGATCCGACGCACCTTAATTTCGGTATTCGACGGACAGCACTACCAACGGAGCTCACGAGAGCCAGGGGATGAAGGATTGACCTACGCTGGCACTGATCAAGAAGCTACGAGTCACTCATTTTTACATGGAATGTTTGGCGAGCCGGCGGGTACACCAGATCTCTTACCAGCATTTGGTAATCGGGAAGGATAGCTTAAGAGAACTCACGAGATTTCCACTTTGGCAGCATTGCCCGGGTGCTATTTTAGCTCACAACCTGGGGTACTGCCGCCTTTCGTTACATTTAAAAAAGTAGAATCTTCCCTCACTGCGCGATCCTCATTAGCAAGTGGTGGTCAGCTTTGTGGTCGGTCTGACACTTCGGTCGGTAGCCGTAACAGCAAGAATTGAAGGTGGTGGAATTTTGCCTCGACGCCCCCGTCATTTATTGTACTTTGTAAAGTCAGACGTACGTTTCACTGAGGCTGTCGTGTAGCTTTAAAACGGCGAGTCGGCGCGTGTTCTGCGCCCAGTTCAGTAATGGAGTGAGACACTCGCCAGCATTCCCTCCAGCATCCAGCGCCCAAAAGACATCCTTCCTGGTGGGTACGAATTTTCACGGCCGCTGCTGCTCTAAGCGGAGGCAACTTTCCTGATAAGTGATGATTTGCTTATAGAATGCGCTCGTATAGCGACATTCTGACGCTTGTTTATGATTGAACGGGTGCACCGTGGCGTAAAAGAGCTTTTGCTTTAGAGCGTTGACCAGCTTCGGTTGGTTAACATTCTCACGTCGTGATGATTCGGATTATAGGCAGCATGACTCTTGCACTTGCAGAGTAGCGAGCCGGGCATCTTGAGCCAGGTCCACCTCATTGGCGACGAGATGAGCATTGTAGTGAGCTTCACGGCAGGGTGTTGTGACACTTTTTGCGATGGGAAAGGACGGAGACCACGTAACACAAGAAGAAGGGAGGCCGAGCTAAGTGAGTGTCATCCATCGGCAAATGGCGACGTGTCTTTGTATGAGGTTGGAGTGTCGGGTTAACATCCGGAGAGTCTCATCAAGGACACCTCGGCATTCTGAATGAGAGCAATTGAGAATGTCGGTAGCGAAGATCACATCTTTTTAAGGCTCTTTGAGTCATGTGATGATATGTACGAAAGGAAACTCCGCGTGAAAATTTGGTTATAGGAGTAGGCACGCTAGAAAGCAAATGACAAAAAAAGCATCCATTGGTTGCTCGTTGAGCCTTCACTATTGCATAATGTCTTCAAAAGACAAATGAAGTCCAACCCCGGTGTGGTCATGTCTAGGTGGAGGTACGATACTTACATAGCTAAGTTTTGGTACAATAGTACAAAATCGACGCTGTATTTGGTTGTAATTGTAAATGCTTACAAGTACTGGGGTATCGATAATTATTAAGAAGGCGGGACTCCGTGGCGGAGGGGTCCATGGTACACGTCGACAAATAAAGACACTTCTAATATGTGATATTGATAACCGTAAATACCTAGAGCAGCGGGGCTGCCGTAGCTCTTTACTGAGAGAAAGCTAAGCTAAGGTCACCGACCTTACGTTCTTTCCAAAAACCAGTACGAGTGTAGCGGATTGCAATCCGCTACCTCCAAGTGCTAAGACCTTAACCAAGGCAAACGAACACTTCTGTTCAAAATCGAAACTGTGTTAAATTGATTTAATTGCGGCAGAGCCGCCAATATCTAAACTCTAGGTTTTTCTATTTAATATAGTAACACCCAATTGATATGGCAAAAACTAATTAGTTTAGTAATATGCATTACTACTGGCAATTCTGCCATGTGGTGGCTTCTTGAACGATGTAGCCACACCACTGCGTGATTTTACTAAC